TGATTAGCTCAGCGTGCAGTTGGTCCTGTTATTATGATTTGTTGATTGTGGCCGAGGCTCAAAACACATTTTACTGAAGAAAACTGCATTTTCAATCTTGCATGTTAAAAGAAAATAGGTAGGATGTGGGCGGACTCGGAAGTTGTGGGATAGGAGAAAACATTTCTTATGCTATTAAATATCACAGAAGATCATTGAAATATCATTACTATCATCAGAAAATGCTCCAAAAAATTCCTTCTGGAACTGAAAAATCTGATCTGAAGCCAATTAAAATCAGATGAAAGAAATTGTAAGTACACTACAGTGTACAGTAGAACGCTCTTTTCCATCTCCGGTCTTGTTAACTTTATCTTGCCACCGGCTTCGAGTGGTGACAGTGAAATAGAGAATGCGGTAGATGCATCGCAAGTCTACTCTCGATATAAGCCAGCGCAAGCCATTGTTCCTGCACAACCCTGCTCTAGAGCACACGGTGGACCTTGTCGAAACCAACGGTCGAACAGTAGTAGTCGGTTATTTGCTGCGAAAAAGAAATACCAGGATTTTATTCTGTTCCCAATAATCTCGTCGTCGCGTTAGTGATCGTGTTTTCTCAAAACCTCTTCCATAATACTCTGTCTTCTTAACATTATTGTTTGATATCTTCTGTAAAGGACGCAGCAGGAAGAGGAGTTGCGCGAAAATCATCCCTTTTTCGACCGGCCTCTGTTTACACTGGGGCGCCAGAGCAGGATCCGTCACTTCTGCAGCATCATCGTCAGAGCCCGTCATAAGATCAGAGGAGCAGGCGGAACCAAGAATAACCACGCAGACGGCATTCAGTAAGTTATACTTTTCTTTCTGTCCGGTTTCATAACAGTAAAGCTCGTAGGGCTGTACATTGATTTAACAATTTTAAGTTACCTTCAGAAATAGGATCATATGGTTTGTCCAAAACCTACGTGGTTAGAGAACTCTAAACTGCGCGTAGTTAAACTGCCGCTAAACATTCTCCAGAGTGCCGGGGCAGCGAACAAAAATCGATTATCCCCAAGCAGACAACCAGATCACAAAACGCCACTTTCGGTTCTGTTCGATTAACTACGGTTAACGCTTTGACAATGCAGCGAGCCGACCAAGCTCTCCGAAGCGTCAGCAAATGAATAAATCAGGTCAGATGAGACCGTCTTTCTTCCGATATTATGAACCCGGATCTCATAGCTATATAATATACTTACTCTACTTAAATTATTATCACGTCTTTTTATTTTCGTTAACCTTTTCTGATGCAAGCTCAGTCAGTTATAACCATACGCGCCATTGACTGGAGCATTAACGCCATTCCTCTGTTCTTTTGACCTGACACATCTTCAAAGTTTGGAAAAATAGCGAAAAAAATATTTTAGAATCCCTGCCTGGTGTCGAAGTAAGTCAAAGTAACCTATAAATCACATAATCCTGTTTTTTGCTTCCGCAGTAAAATCCTCGGCTTCGTTTCTTATCTCGATTGGTCGATGTTGATGGTTACCATTCTGAGCTGTATTTCAATGGCACTGGAGACACCTCAGCGCCGTCTTATGAACACGCCGGAGCTGCAGGTATGATTTTGCCGGTGCATAAATCTGTGCATAAAAAGGTATAATATTATGAAATATTGAGGCGAATATTTGCATTACAGGTTTATGTTTACGTAAAAAAGGAGAATATTGTTAACTCACCGAAATTATGTCTTTGTCCATCCGAACTTTCGAACTCTTATCGGAGTCCATCGTCAGAGGTAAAAGCGAGAACAAAACAAACAACAGTTATAGGCCAATAAAACATCAGTCACGCCAGTCCGGAGGTGACTGTGCAGAGGTGACAGCGTCAGATCGACAAATCGATTGACTGAGTCCTCATCGATGGTCCAGGCTTCAATCAGTTGTTGGTTTTTCGTACATCTGGTTTGGATGATTATCGTCGTGGATGCAAAGTTAAACTCGTGGCTCGTCTCGTAGGTGTAGACAGCCGCTTTTCGTAGTCCATTACTCCATCTTATGGCCAGCTTATGTTCTTGCGTACGCTACCCAAACACGCATCCGGCCTGTCCTGTGTAGTTACGAGGATAGCTCAGGCACGATATGCAATACACTAAACCCGACTGATTTTCATATTCCGCATGCGTTGATAGTCCGTTTGGTGACGTCTTGACAACTGCATCTGCACCCTACGCATTCATATGGGTAATAGCAAGGAACATAGTCTACTGTTGGTTGTTGGTCTGTGGTGGCCAGTGGACTTTCACTTTCATGAATATGTCCTCAGCACTATAACTGAACGTGTGTCCTCGTAAGCCTATAAATTTGAGTTTTCACGAAGTGTATGAGCGATTGATAGCGAGATACCAAGGCATGCTTTAAATTGATTTGTGAGAAATGCTGTCAAGGTACAGAGAAATCCCCGCTTTCTGCTTTTGGAGTTCAATTGGTTTAGCTTTCAACCTGAATTTTGTCTCATTGATATTATGACGGTCTTTGGATTCGCAGGTTCCAGGGACGTCTTTGAATGAACATCTATCTAGTACAGGACACGGAAATGAAAAAAAAAAACAGAAGACATTAGAAGGACAGTTTCTGTCTTATTAGCCATCATCATCAACTAGTCATGCACCAATTTGGGACGGAAAAGAGCGAGGCTAAGGCCTGAGTCTGTTGGAAATCGCATTTCTGAGTCAACCACTCTACCAATCGATCAGTCGTGGCAGATTAAATTATAGGGGACACTCTAATCTCTAAGACCTTTAAGCCCGGTGCCGCTGAAAAGACATTGTATTCTGTACAGAATAATTGGAGAACCGGTTGGACCAATTTGGCAGCCAGACGAGAGCACGACGGGAGCCAGGAGGGTGACGTCCGAAACAAGAGTAGTAGATTCTTCGCCGCGCCTTGAACGAGAGCACGCCTGCGTCGGCCTTGAGGACGATTGGCCTGGTTAGACAATC